TTCATATTATGTAGAATTATAATCATGAATTGTTTACATTGTCTTATCTATTTTATTAATTGCTGTGATTATTCTTTAAACCTAGGCACACCAGAAGGAGCTAGGTCTAGGCAAAAGTTACCCTTTCGATTGTTTGTCTGTGCCAGTTGCGTCCGCTTTCTCTCGCAAGAAATCCTTGCTTTTTCTTATTGTTCCAGCAGCAAGAGAAGATGAGTTTCCTTGCAGAAGATTACACGCCTCAGGACATTCCCAGCGATTACCTAGTCATTCAGGTTTTGTCGTTATATGGCATGTGTAAATGCTGCTACTTTATAATGTGTTTCTAACCAATCTAGAAATTATTAGTAATGAAATTGGCAATTTTTTTAGTTTTGTCAGCAGGCATATTTTATGAAAGTATTGATCTGAATTTCTGGTGGGAGTAAGGCTGGATATGCTTTGTCAGGTTGTTTAAGTATAAACTCTCTATATTGGTTTTTTACAGTTTTAAAAGCTGTATCTCATGCTGTTATAAGGATTTCAAAACAGAGTAGTTACCATTTTGGCACCGGGTGCTCATTTGTACGTACATCCATGACTGTTGTGGACGAAACGCTGGGGGCATCATGTCATGCCCATTCCCGTGCTACTGGCTCGTCGGACGGAGGTTGTTTTTCTCCAGTAGTAGCGGCTTCATTTATATGGTAAAGATTTTAGGCAATGGCACCTAAAGTGAAGGTAAACCTTCAAAATTTTAATATTTTTATAAATTTTAGCAAAATAAAAGCTTTTAGGTGCTATATGTCGCTCGCAAACTACCGATCGAGCCGGGCGCAAACGGGAAACTGCCGGTGCGCGCCAACAAGCCCGTGCATACGTAAACTTGCCAAAATTTTTACCCGTCGCTGATGGGTTAACTCATTGGGTCCGTAAGCTTCACTGCCATGACATGGCTTAAAATACGGGCATTAGGCTTACTTGATCAGCCACTCTGTGCCTCCCTATAGCAATGTTATTTTATTTTTTTCTACATATGTATTTTTAGCTTTTTTGCCATTTTCCTATGTCCATATATGTCATTTGAATTCCTTTACCCAGATGGTATCTGACTGTTTGCCTTGCACAAACTCCATATCATGTCTATAGGTATTCCATAACTTAGTGCAAGAATAATAACTAAGTAATTGTTTTTTTCATAATATTCAGTTTTCTGTAATACAACCTGTACCTCTGGTCACAGTGGCTAGGAATTGGATCCTGAGTATGGAAATAGCATCCTCCATGGAGCCAGTGCTCTACCATTCATATATGGACAGTACATTGCACAGAAGTTTATCAATGGAAATAATGTAAAAGCCCCTTCCAAAATGCCAAATGAATCTAATCACCCTCCTAGAGGTTTGTACACTTGTAGCGAGTCTTTCCCATACCGTCAACTGAAATGCTCATGACAGCAAGGTTGTGTCACCCCGTCCCATAGCCAAATTTTCATCAGCCCCTCAAGCCAAATTTTTTCATGACATATTCTGGTATCATAACTGTCTACATGTATTTAAACTGTTGGATCTGGATGCGTTACAGAAACCCCAGTGCAAAAAATACAGGCAGTGGGTTACGTTAATGGCTAATATCCTGGGCATGCGTGAACACTCATGAGCAGTGACAAGACTGTGCCTCCCCTTATTTTGCTTTTTTTTTTTTTTTTTTTTTTTTTTTTTTTTAGCTTTTTTGGTATTTTCCACTGTCCATATTTGTCTTTTGATTTGCTTTATTCAGATGGTAATGCTTATTTTCCTTGCACAAACTCTACATCATATCTCTATGTAGTAAATATGTATCATATCTCTATGAAGTAAAAAAAAAAAAGAAAGGGGGAAAAAAAGAGAGAGAGAGAGGAACATTTAGTTATTTGTGTTATATATCTTATTTTTTATTAATTTTCAATTTTCCATAATACAACTTGTGCTGCTGGTCACAGTGACAAAAAATAATATACGCAGAATAGGAATGGTGTCCTCCCTGGAGCCGGCACTCTTCCAGACACGGCTTATGCACCTTACTTTACACATTTGTTTTTTTGTTGGAATAATGCTAAAGCCCCCTTCTAAGCACCAAATGCGTCTAATCAGAGTCAAGAGGTTTATGCACTCGTGGCAAGTCTTTTCCATCACCCAGGCCTTCGCTCATGATGGCAAGTTTGTGTCACCCTGCCTGCGGCCATTTTGTCTAGTGACGGCATGTTCACATCAATTGGCCCTCGACCCAAATTTTTCCATGAAGGGACTGTAATGTCATCCGGATTGTAGGGGTTAATGTTCATTAGGTTGCTGACTGACAAGATTATGAAAGTACTTTCATCATTTGTCTTTTATTAAAATATAGAGCTGGCCAAAGAAGTTTGTCCATCCCCCCCCCCCTCCCTAAAAATATTGTGGTATGATTGTAACTGGTTACAGTGTATTGCATTCAGTTATGAAAATATAAACCCTGTTACGAATAAACAAATATAAAATAGTTTCCTTTAAAAGTTTTGGTGTATGTCTTGATATATGATATGAAGTATGTTAAATCGGATAGAAATATATAAGTAAGGAAGGAAATATACATCCCATTCTTTAGCTTCTCAATTATATGATCATATAGTCATAGCTAGAGAGGGTGGATGGACTCAATATTGATAAACTTACATCTTCAATTATTTTTCTTAAAAAGTTATTGCATATATTTATATTACATATTGGATATGGCTTAGTTAATGTTATACTGTCATGACAATATTAACTTATTGGATCTAGGTGCTTCACTGCCTGCATGCGGCCTAAAATCCAGGCATTTGGCTTGAGTTGCCAATCTCACTGGTGTGTGGCTTGTAGGCTGGGTAAACAAGAACACTCATGTGCTGTGTCAAGACTCCTTGCTACCCCTTTGCTATGTTATTATCTCTTTTTCTGCATAAGCATTTTTTTTTTCCATTCTCCAATGTCAATATTTGTCATTTGATGTGCTGTATCCAGATGGTAATAGACTTTTGTCTGTGCATAGACTGTATCATCTCTCTAGGCTGTCCAAGACTCAGTGCAGTAATGATAACTATAAGTAAAAAAAAAAATGTTTATTTATTTTATTTCTTAAATTCAAATTTCTGTAATACAATCTGCACCACCAGTCATGATGAGCAAGAATAGGATCCTGAGCATGGAAATAGCATTCTGCCTGGAGCTGACATTCTTCCAGTCATGGCTCATGGATGGTACATTCCGCAATTGTTTACTGATAAGAATAATGTAAAAGCCTCTTCCTCAATGCCTCAATGGGTCTAATCATCCTCCAAAAGCTTGTACACTTGTGGCAAGTCATCTGTCACCTCGGCCTTCAGCCAAATTTCTCATCACAATTGCCCACATGCTCATCATTTACATAAGATATGATCATAGATGTTATATCAATGCTTCATATCTGAACAAGTGGAAATGAATAGATGAATAAGTCTTACTTTTTTTTTTCAAATGAACAGATAGCCTATCAAGTCAACATTGAGTCTCCATGATGATCAATGCATAAATGATGTGAAGACAGTAACATTGCATGAACTCTTAATTGTTTAATATCACAAAGGTACTTATGAGAGGATAAGCTGGAAACTGTAAATCTAAGATTTTAATCAGAACTTGATGGGAGTGCAAAGAGATTCAGGAAAGAAATGAAAGCTATGGCCGCACCAATTTGATTTGTTGCTTCTCGGATTTGCATAAAAAAATAAATAGATAGATAAAAATAGATAAATAAATAAGGCCAGACCAGAAACCACTTTAGGTTTTGCTTTCACAAACCTGTAAATATTGCCACTATCAGAGGCACACCAATCAGAGAGCTACTTTGTTATCACATGCTAGAGGACAACCAATCAAGAAGTGTCTCATCTTTCAAATTAATAAGGCGACTTAGAAGGTTTGGTTGTGTGCTGGTATGTGCCACTATAAACTCTATAACTAAATGAACTTAGAGTTTTAAACTTAAGTTTAGAGTTTAGTCATAGTAGTTTATAGAGCATGTAAACAGTAGAGCAGATTGATGTTTTCTTTGTAAAGCTGAAAGTTTGCATGCCTTAGAAGACAATAAAGTGCCAGTGGAAAGGGACCCGACACAGCAAACTTTAGTCTTCTTCTCCTTCTGCTTCGTCTTGTTCTTTTTCTTCTGCTTCTTCTTCTGCTTCTTCTGCTTCTTCTGCTTTAATGTTACTAGTTTATTAAACTTTGGAATGACCATACAAAACAAAAATTGCAATAATAGTAGTAAATGCAACACATGTAAATTCAATAAAAACCAGTCTAGTAATAGAAACAAAGGATGGGATTAACTACATAAAGCGTGCCATGAAAAGCTGAAAACTTTAATAATCC